TTAATGTTCACGGTTTTAGTGCGTGCACTCTATCTCTGTATCTATCTTAATAAAAAATGTAAATTGTACTTACAAATATATCAGAAAATAAATATGAAATCTTTTTCTATCGACTATAGTTACCTTTTTTTTTTTTTACAAAAATTTCAACTTTTCTATATTGAATTTTAAAGCTCAAAGAAAATGTGTTGGACAGAAATCCTTTGCCTTGAGTGCGTTTTTCTTCAAATCCTTAGAAAATATTCGATTTTCTATTTAATGCCATTTCCTGTGTTACATGTTATGAGCTGAAACTTCTCCTTCTTACAAATAGAGATGTTTTTTATCCCACTTCATTGAAAAAATAGCCAATCAGAATGGAAAGAAGCTGTGGTATATTTGGTAGTATTCCACTGTTCCTTCCCATCGGGCATTGCGTCCTAGGTGCATTTCATTGCAATTGGTTTGGGATAAGACTGTCATATATATTAGGTTTAACAGATCAAAAACAGTTTTCCGTGTTTGATACTCTGATCAAAACACGCGGGATGTTGGGAGAACACGAGAGGAGCGTAGGAAACCATGACGCGTAGCGGAGTGGTTTCCAGCTTCTCGAGTGTTCTCCCAACATCCCAAGTGTTTTGATCAGAGTATCAAACACAGAAAACTGTTTTTGATTTGTTTTATAAAATAACAAACGCGCGAAAAGATCGAAAAAAAGCAAAGTCTAAGTAAATTCTCCCTACGTGCCGTCTTATTCAAACTGACCAATGAGCGCGCGTGATAGATTAAAAATGACGATAGCGTGTTTTGATACTCTCATCAAACATGGTTTTCGACCAATCCTAGCGCGCGTAGTATACCAATTATTTTATAATTTCTTATCACTCATTATTGAATATCCCACTTTTCACTATTATTTTCTGGGTATTTTGCCTTATCCTACACCATAGAATATAAAGCCAACCAGATTGCATGAAAGCTAAACCATTTTATCTTTATTAGTCGGTATTTCCCTCTTCCTTCCCAACATGCTCTGCCTTCGCGTGGGATATTCGATGGTATGGCATTCCAAATCATATGATTAACTAGTATAGAATCTATAGCAAAATATCATTTTTTTCTTGAGCTTTCGAGTATGTTTTCGCCGCTTTGTCGAAGAAACTCTTGCTGTCGTATTATGACGTTTTCATTCTGTCGTGCAAGCTCTACTAAAATTCATTTTCATCCACGCTTTTCGCTTCATGTAGACTGCTTGATAAAATACGACTTGCAAGTGGCTCCTAAAGTTCGTATTTTGCGCTCAAAGTATCATCTTTAGCAGCGAATTTCAACAACACTTCTCTGAACCAGTATCTCTTGAATCTTCCGTCCAAGGTGAAAGCCAACGCCGCTGTCAGACACACGTTTATCAAGAATATCACAATATCAACCCAGAAAATAATGTCTTCTTGGACCAAATATTTTCTGAAAATATACCGAATGAAATGGAGGATGTAGTGTAATACAACATGGAGTAATATAGCCGCTAAAGCTGTACCAAATGTACGACACAATATGAAGCCATAGTGGTTAAGTGGATTTGCACTTCGGTAACTGTCCTCAATAAAGCTGAAATGATCATCCATTGTTTCGAAATATCATCCAGACGAAATGATCCAAATGCAAGAAAATTATAAATTTCCCTGACTGATCCAGTTGAAATGATAAGCTTCTTATTTCAACACTTATTTTGAAATTTTAGCTCCAGAATTCCGCTTTTTTTGAGTGTTTTTTGTTTTGTTTACTAGCCTCGATGGGAACTCCTGTCTTTTGGCTGTATTAGGAAATGATGATTTCGAGTTGTGTGACCTCACTATCTACCTGCGGTCATATCTTCCTCAATTGTGGAAATCAACTTTTCAGTAACGAGTTTAAAACTCGCAATTTGTTTTTCTTTTATATTATATCTTCTAACATGATAGGATTCAACGAAGTATTTTGTTTTATTGTGTACCTGGAGTTTCATTAATTATCAGTCGAAATATCGAGGAAAGACATTTGTTATGATGACCAGCAGCTGAACAGGTGGTTCTGGGCTGTTTTTATTCGTATCAATAATAAATCAACTATGAAAAATGAAGGCGCCAGAAACCAATGCCTCCGAAAATAACTTAATTTATCGTTAAATAAGAAAAATAAAATGAAGTAGCTTTCTCAAGGCTCTTTTTTGACAAATTATTATGGTTAGTAACAGAGATGAGAATTGATTTATCGTATCCTTAAAATTCTGAGGAATGTTCTTCGCAACCCCTTAAAGTGCCGAGACTGTTTATTCCTAACACGTTTATTATTATTATTATCCTTACACCTAATTGCAGGAACGTTGTCATATATAAATAAAAAAAGACGCTATAACATTTACGAATTATTTTTTTAAGCAAATCTGGTGTATACGTTGTCATACGAAAATAGAGCATTTGTACTTTAGTGGGAAAGGAATTAAGAATTAAGACAAAAGAAGATCACTGAAGCTGAACTCATCCTTTTGTCTTTTAGTTTATTCCTTTCCCGCTAAAGTACAAATGTTCTATTTTCGTATGACAACGCCTCTTGCAATTAGGTATAATTATATTTAGGTTTTTAAAGTCATAGAAAGCCATTTTTGAAACTACCTTGATGGTATATAATAAAACAGTTATTTTCATCTATCTAGGGGAATTTAAAATCAAAATAATTGTATATGACAAAGTTCTTGCAATTAGGAGTGTTTAAAAATAATCACTAAAAAATAATGTATGACAAAAATCATAAAAATTTGCCTCAATTTACAGTGCGTCCTTATTCAAACACGGACCGCCAAATCGTACAAATTTTCTCCGTGAGAAATTAAGGATTCAGATTTCTGGGACGTCAATCAAAGTGTTTCCATGACATTGTTTTCAAGGGCACGTGACTATGAATGTCATGGAAACGCCTTGATTCAGTGACGTCCAACAAAACCTACTTTTTCGCGTTGACGATTCAGCGTAAGATATTGAGAAGTGAATTAGAAAATGAAGCTAAAATCAAATGAATCACGTTTTACGAAATACGTTCGTTTTCAAAATACTTGTTACTTTTGGTTTCCATGGAAGTGAGATGTCAAGGTGTCAGAGCATGAGTCCTAGTGATCTTGACTTCTGAAGGATCTCGGGGGAGCCTGGCAGCATTTGCCCTGAAGTTTGAACAGAAATACAAGGTTATGGAAAGAGATGTTGTTTTAGAGGGAGGGGGAAATGGGAGAGGATAATGAGGATGGAAAGAAGAAAGCAAGCAAGGAATGAAGAAAGCAAGAAGCAAGCAAGCAATCTAGCAAGCAAGGAATGAAGAAAGCAAGAAGTAAGCAAGCAAGCAATGAAGAAAGCGAGCAAGCTAGCAAGCAATGAATGAAGAAAGCGAGCAAGCTAGCAAGCAATGAATGAAGAAAGCAAGCAAGCAAGTAAGGAAGCAAACAAGCAAGCAAGCAA